CCTCTCACCACCTGACTTCTCAGTATCAGCGGACTACTACAGAGAGAGAGAGTTGTGACTTGGGACTTGACGACATTGGATCCAGACTCGACATTTGGGATTCAGACAKTTTGACGAGGGACTATTTGGGCCAGTGCCGAAGACTTGGTGTTGACGACATTCCCATCTTCCCCTCCTCTTCGTCTAACCCCCTTCTTCTTCGTCTGTGTATGGTTGGGGCTGGCGCAGTCTTCCTGTGTGAAGCGCCAGACCCCTTTCAGACCATGGAACGATGATGATGATGTGTGTTCACGGCTGCATTGCAATATTGATTGTTCGGATCATTGGTATCTAAGTCTTCTGCTACGCTATCTTGTACTTTGTATTGAGAGGTCGGTTCTTGTTCTGGTCTGCACCGTTACAGTATGCAACAGTCTCCAAGCCACCACCTTTGGCCGGTATCATGAAGTTCCCAGGGGCAGTATACCGTTTACAGAAGACTTCCTGCCACGACCCTTTGAAGTAGAGCGCGTTAACAAGCACAAAGACAGAGGCTTCACGAAGCAGGCCTTCAGGGACGACCTGCTGTATCTTTCCTGATGTCTGATTGCTCACCCACCGGTTGATTTCTTCACGCACTTGTGATGCTGCCCCCACAAAATCTGCAGGGACCACACGAGCCTCGTACAAGGCAACGTGATCCTCATACTCCTTTTTCAATGGCAGCCGATCAGTCACCCAAAGTCCGGTCGCGATCTGAACTTTCGCGGCTGCAGCTGAATCTGAAGTGGAGGCAGAGGTGGGCCCTCCGAGCAGATTCCTGCGCAGAAATGTCAAGGAGGAATGAGCAGCAGCCAGATTTGTAGGAAGCCGGAGAACGTCGATTATTTCCGTTAACGTGTTTCCGGCTGACCCGCCAGAGACAACCGCCAGTGCGAGAGTAATGCTCATGGGCGAGAGTGCTACGTTCAGTAGCTTTTTGTTCTCCTTGCTCGTACTAACTTCACCACCCTTGGACAACACAGCACGGTATAGCTCCAACATGAAGGTTGTTTGCCCCTTTACAAGATTGATGTCACCTTTGGCCTCCATCTTTACAGTCTCTCCTCCACAGGCAGGTGGTGGCAGGCAGGTACTCTGGCGTCCATGTCGAAACTAGTATAATTCTGCAGGCTACTGACACCTTCCAGCTGGAGCAGGGGTTGGCAGGCCAGTCCACAAGTTAACCCAACAGATACCAGCAGGTTGAGACAACTGGTGGCAGGAAGCAGGAGGAACAAAGCAGATGGATCCTTCGCCAGAACATCAACTGCAATCAAGTCAAACCATAGAGGGCAAATCGCCTGGACGGGTGAGATGATGATTAAGGGGGACAGAGCGAAGGCGAGGGATCCTGGTATGACATTCCCAGCTCGCCTTTCCTCTCGTCCGTTTGTCTGTTCTTAACTTCTTATCTTATTTCGCACCATCAGCCATGATCATTGAAGATTCTTTGCAATTTCAAATTCAGTTTGTTGATCCTCGGAAGCGGAGTGAATTTGAGCTGTTCATACTAAACTGTCATTGTCTTGGCTTTCCATAACAAAGACGTTTACTAGAATAGCACAGAGTGAAGTTCAGCTTGTTCATACTTGGTATTGTTCTTCTTCTTTTTTTTGGAAAAAAAAAAAGTCCGACGGCATTCAGATACCAACAACGAACTGGCCGGCCCTGTGTAATTTCACAATTATTGTAGTATTTTACTCATCCGCTTCCAGTGCAGCTTGTGTTTCAGGTCTATATTTTAGCAGTTCAGAGGTGTACCAACTGAGCTAGGCCAGTTGGTACTTGGTATTGTTTTGGCTTTCCATTACAATATTTATGTCGAGAGAAATAGCAGGCAATAACCATCCTCCTGCTCTCGCTCTTTCTATGTCGAGAGGATAAATTTAACCATCTCGCACACCTTTTAAATACTCTGCATAATTGTGTTTTTCGTTTTTCCATGATAATTTCAAGGATGGATTCAAGAGCCTGGGGCAACAGGGAAATCAAATTAAAATTTCTTTTTCTTTTGTTTTCTGTTTTTTTTCAAATTAAAATTTCTATTCCAAAAAAAGCACTACTGGGCGACCTCAACTGAACCTCGTTCACAGTCAGAACAAGAAACACTTTACGGCACTAACGAATTAATTTACAGCAAGGCTGTCATTTTGTGAGCCCGAGATGAAGGGCGTACATACTCACACTCGGACTTTTTCGATTGCGCTCTGGACCTGATTGCGGTCAGATGCATCCAGCTCCGGCTGCACTAACCCATCACACAAAGACTGTCATTATAATTATATCAGCCCGAGACTAAGGGCATACTC